AAAAAAAAAAAAAAAAGAAAAAAAAACTAAAAATATCTGTGGAGATTTTTTTAAGAGAGAAAGATCGTATTTACCAGAAGGAATCATCGAAGGAACTGGGTTTCGATGTACCTTGATTGTGTATTATACATCAGCAGATACAAAAATCATATATCGGTTTTCAGGTATCCGAGCATAAAAGCACCCTACTGCGACTTCTGTAAATCCCGTTGTAATAGAAAATTTAGCTTCTGATCTGTGGTCTTTCTTATGTAATTCTGGTGATACCAACATTAACTACATATAAAAGTAATAACAACACAATGAGTGCAACGGTTCTATAAACATTAATACTGACGCCCTGGAAAATTTCTCTTGCGTTGCGCAGAAATAGCAGAAACAGATGTTAACGTACTCTCTCTGGAAAATAGAAAGCTATTTTAAGTGGTTTTCGGTCCTAAAGCTATTTCCATCGTTTACGGTACTCGCTGTCGAATTTTTCAATTGACTTCGGGACGTTTCATCGTAGCCTATGCTGATATTTTCAAAACGCAAGGGGCTTTTTGCTAGTTTAGTACCTATGGGGTTTTCTTAGCGTTTGTATGATTTATTTGCTTACATGACTTCTCCTTTTCATGCAGTACCGTTGCGATTTAATGCTTTTACTATTTGTGAAGCTGAGTACTGGTAGCTGACTTGTTAAAAGGGTAAGAAGCACTTGAGTGTGGTTCTTTTTTGTTTGTTTTTTATCTTGGAGCTTCATCATTTTATAAAAATTTATATTTATCTTGGTGATTTTGGTGTTATAACAGTTTGAAAATTTTTTTTATCGTAGTTCCTCTAAAGCGGAGGTCAGTCGACAGTGGGCTTTGATTTGTCTTTTTGTATTTCAATACAGAATGCTTTTTGTGTTACTGTTTGATACAAGTCCTTCACTAACTTATTCAGAACGTTTCTCGGCTGCCGGTCAAATCACAGCTGAGTATTTTGCTTTTTTTTTTTTCTTTTTGAATCAGCAACGCTGTTGAGAGTAGTGCGGAGCGGGGTTCGCTGTTTCAAGAACCATTTTTATTTGGCTTCTTAGGAACCTTAGGTAGCATGTCGTTTAATATTTTTGTCCGATTAATTATTCTTGTCCTTTTAACGACAATGTGAAGGCGTCAGAATAGCTGCTTTAAATCAAAATTTGTCTTTAATGTTAACAAAAAAATACATTCCGTAAAACTTCAAAGAAGGATTTTTTTCTTATCACTTTTTGAAAGGTATTCAACCCTTTGAAACAGCTCGCAAGAAAACTGAAAAATTCTAAAGAAGCCTAAAAAGGAAGTTATTACTGGCAAAATGAAGTGTGCACTCATTATCCATGAAGATCGACAACTAGAAAAAGCAGAAGTTACGGTCGATAGGCGGATACATCTGCAAAAAAGCAAATTTTTAATTTTGTTTTTTATATCTCTAATTGTGTGTCAACCTTGAGCAGAAGTCCTATTCGACTAAACTATCAATGAGGATGAACTTAAAGAAGGAATCGTTGATTACTTATAAACACTAAAATCCCTGATAGTGGCAAGACATGAACATTGGAGGGTTAGCGTTAACGAAGTGTTTAAATGTCATAAAAAAATTGCATCTTTTCAATCGTTATGGAAAAAATGAAATTTTGAAGAAGAACTAAATAAGATGGAATTGAATTTATGTACTCAGTTCTTAGCTAAGTAGCGAGACGGGAACAAGTTTTGTTACGGTGTTTTAATCGCATTTGATTATCTGTAGTACATTCAGCGGTTCGTTAGTCAATTTATGCACTTTAGGATTAGTTAGCGTTGGTTAGTCGTTTTGTTCATGTTACTTCCGCTTTGTTTTTTGTTTAATTGGCGGTACTCTTTTGCTTGTTATGGTTTTTGATGTGACTTATAAGTGTGTGAATTTTGTTGCTGCGTGCTGCTGCATGAGGTTGTTGGAATAATCTTGCTTTTTTAGGGTTAAACAGCAAACTTGTCAGAAATGAAGCTCAATATAGCTTATCCCTTTACGGGATGTCAAAAAGTATTTGAAATAGATGATGAGAAGAAACTACGTATATTTTTCGACAAACGCATGGCGCAAGAGGTAGAAGCGGATGCACTTGGGGATGAGTGGAAGGTACATAAAATTTAAGCATTATTTATATGAAATTAAGATTTTTTTCTGCACTTCTACCCGTGAAGGTACACCGGGCCTTCAGGATTGGCGGTTTGATGTTCTTTATTTTTGGCCGCTTGTTATAGGTCTTTTTTTTTTATTTAGAGTGTTTTTGTTGTCAATTTTTTCGTGTATTTTATCTTATAATTCATACTTGGTCTTATAAATCAAACTTATTCTAATGAGTGATTTTTGTGCCAACAGTTCTTCAAAAATTTCTCATTTCTAAAATTTGAGTGGTGATAAAGGGGTTGAGATAGTCATAGCGATCAGTCTTCTGTGATAAGTGAACAGGTTTCATTGATAAATGTAACTTTTAACTTTAGCAGGCGGGAAGCCGTAGAATGAAAGATCTTATGGATGCCATAACATAAATTTGAGGATGGTTCCTGATCAAGTTTTATTAAATTTGGAGGACTCAGTTTGTTTATTTGGTTGCCGTTTTTTTAAACTTCTTTGTTTGTTTGATCAACTTGCTTTGGATTCCAGGGCTATGTTCTCCGAATCACGGGAGGTAATGATAAGCAAGGCTTCCCAATGAAGCAAGGTGTCCTCACGAATAATCGAGTACGCCTGCTGTTATCTAAGGGACACTCTTGTTACAGACCTCGCCGTTCCGGTGAAAGAAAGCGGAAGTCCGTTCGTGGTTGCATTGTAGACGCCAACCTTTCTGCTCTTGCACTGGTTATTGTGAAGAAAGGTTAGTTTTTCGATTGTTTATTTTATTCAAACCACATATTTTTTTAAAACGTCAGTTAGTTTGCCAATTAAAAGCTCTGCTTCATTTTCTCTTATACTTGTTTCTTAAATGTGTTACATGTTTTCTTGCTTTTATTGAGTCTCCAGGCATTTATCTGTAGATTTTAAGTATATTTAGATTCAAATAATTGTTTTATAGCGACCATACAAAGGGTTTGACGACTTTTTTTTAGGCGAAGGAGAAATCCCTGGATTGACCGATACCACAGTACCTCGACGCCTTGGACCAAAACGGGCCTCAAAAATTAGGAAGCTTTTTAACTTGTCGAAGGATGACGATGTTCGCAAATATGTGATTCGGCGAAAGCTTCCTGAGAAAGATGGTTCCTTTTTTTCCATTTCACCTTGGAGGGTTCCGGTCTGCATGATCTGGGTGGCGACTGGGTTATGGTGTCGAACGTAGTTACTTTAATTATGTATCCGGGAAATCTAGCACCTTGCAGGCGGTTTATTTATAGGTATTTTTCTTATAAACTGGAGTGTTTTTTATGGCTTGTCGCTTCCAGGTAAGGAACGGTCAAAAGCGCCAAAGATCCAAAGACTCACTACTCCAATTTACCTGCAGCGAAAAAGACGTATTATTGCAAAGAAACTCAAACGGACTGCAAAACGGAAAGAAGAGGAAGCCGCGTTCCATAAACTAATGGCACAATATGCTAAAGTAATATTGGTTTAAAGGAGGCGCAAATATTTTTTTGTTTTTTTTTTTTTTGACGATTGCCAAATTTTGCAGGAAAAGCAGGAGGCCAGAATCGCCCGGAGGAGATCATCCGCATCTCGTAGAGAGTCAGAGAGGTTGAGTAAATCAAGCAAATAAATCCGGCCGTTTCTTATTTGTTGATTTTGCTTGTTGGACCGCAAATGAATTTCAGAAGTTTTTGTTTCTTAACACAAGAGAAGTGTAAAGTTTTGTACTGACCGGCGAGCAGTTCCTACTCCCCGCCAAGCTCTCAAGGTATTGATTTTGTCTTCCCTTCTGTCCTGTTCACTGGCTTTTACGGCTCATTTGTGAGATCCATCATTGGGCACGCATGAGCTTACGGCTAGGTAGCCTCCTCGAAACGATTCTTCTTGGCAGACTCGCGGCGGAAATTCAGCCGACCATACGCCTAAAGCCCAGCAAACATTGTTGCCCGAAACCTCACTCACGACTCATTTTTTTTGGGGGGGGATTACAGTAGATCCGCGAACCACTGAGCACTGCTGCAAGTGTTCTATGTTCAAGCCGCCTTCCGATGCAACTGTTTTTAATGCTTGAAGAGAGGCAGTCTGATTTTCATAGACAATATAGATACCGGAATTACCATTTATTTATGGAACCAAATAACAATTTATAGAAGTAATTATTTTACTTTCATATACAAACAATGGCATCACAAGCATTCCAATTAATCAGTTGAAGGGTACCAAAATAAGTGAAAAAAAGTATAAAATGACTAATGCGGG